GCAGGAATGTCCACAAAGCCAGTGTCATTAGCAACAGCCCATTCAGCCTTGTATTGACAGGTTCCATCCTTTAGAAAGGGAAGAGAGTTGATTACTGCCACCCATGTCCTGGGGAACATGAGTTCTAGGACTGACACACTCAGCAACGTGTAGCCTATGTTTTCCAAGTCAACACTGGTATTAATCATCTCAGGAGAGTGAAATGTTACTTGTTGGTTTGAAACTGAAAGATTTACTGATGTTTCTTCTATTCCCTTAGGTCTCCTGTCCATAAGAAATTTTTCACAATGGAGAAATTTATAAGGTATATAATATCATTTCTATATTCTCCATGGTACACATAAGCAACAATATGTTAGCCAGGTAACTAAAGAACTACACAGATACTTAATTTATAATGACACTACTGACACTTTACAGAGAAAAATTCTACCATCTAAAATGTAAATTCAGGGCTCAGTCTCACAGTGCAGTGATTAAGGGAGCCAGATGCCCCATGACCAACTGTGGTTGAATCCTGGTGCTAGAGGTTAAACCAACATGCCAAGCACATGTGCACACATGTACAACATCCCAATGAGGAGAAATGGAGAAAAAAGGATTGCAGCACGTCCATGCTCCCATTGCAGGGAGGCGGGTGCTTTCCCTCCTTCCCACTGCCCCGACTCTGGCAATAAAAACATTAAAGATTTAAAAATAAAATGCGAATTCTAAAATGTTATCTCTGAAAGCTGTCCAAAAGCACAGCTGGAATGACAAGTAGGTAAGAAGCTTGACTTACCATTCCTTTATATGGATAGGATTCCTCTGAGTCCAGCCCTCCATTGTCCTTAATGTACTGGAAGGCATTGTCCATCAGGCCGCCCTGACAGCCAAGATTGCCTTGTCTCCGAGAGCAGTCCACCAAGTTCTGCTCGCTCAGTGAGATGAGTTTGCCGGTTTTCCGGAACATCTGTCCTTCCAGAGCACCAGTCGCACTAAAAGCCCAACAAGAACCACACTGACCCTGAAAAGGAATTTAAAAGCTGTCAACTTAAAAGACAAAAGACTCAGAAAAGCCTATGTATTTGAATAGGCTCAAACATCCAGCACATCACATGTTAATCCATGGTCTGCCACTTATGTCAATTCCTCTTAGACTTTGTGCAGAAGATGCAACGTCTGACTCTGACACCGCCATACCTGATTCTTCACCGGAGTCACGAAACCTTTCTCTCTCCAATCCACAGATTTGGGGGCCTGAAGGAGCAGAGGTGCGTGAAACACTTTCCCCGACTTCTGTTTCTGGTTTCGAAAGCCATTCATCACCTGTCTGAATTCTTCATTGGTCTTCACAGAAAAGTAAATAAAAAGTTGAAAAGGCGAGAGGTTATTCCGGTAACCAACTGAGGAGAGGGAGCACAGCGTGCAGCAACCCACACCACACTCACCATGTCGCCGAAAGCATTCATGCCCATTGTGAAGCCATGTTTTCCGTTGCTATATTCATGATTGTGCATTTCAATCATTTTCATATTCTTCTCCCACACGGCTCTCCTCCACCCTTCTTCATTCTGGAAGCAAACATATAAGTGATGGTCTCTATTTCTACTTGACTCCCAGCCCATGCTCACCAATGGGTGTGCAGACAGAAAGTGGCGGAACCACGGCCACGGATGGCTTTATTCTTCTGGGAGCTATTCTCCAAGCTCAGACACAGCAGGGACGGAGGCCCAGACTGGGCTCATAATGGATGCTACTAATTATTTCTTTGGTCAGAGCTTGCCTCTAGAAGCTTCTCTCTGGCTATAAACTCCTCACAGCAAGGCCCATTCTGTCCAGTCTTTCTGGCCAGTTTCAGTTGGGACATTACCAACCTTGCCATATAGTCTCCTGTGCGTTGACTTCCAGTGGTGCCATGAGGTATCTAGATTCTGATCAGAGTTTGGAGTAGCTGAAGCTATACCCAAGCACAACGCAGCCAGGAACAATGAAGGATTCATGTTTCCAAACCCTAGGAAACAAGAAGAAAGGAAAATCTGATGAAGCCAATCTTTTCAAAAACCCAGCTCGCTGTTAAATGTTATAGTCATCATGACAGAGTAGAAACATTTAAATGAAGTACCAACGCAGGACATTGGAAAGTCGCAGAATAAGGGTGGAGAGCAGGCCAGGGGCTAAAAAAAGGGAGGGGTTTTTTAAGTCAGTCACAGAAATGAAAAACACTCTCATATGTGCTACAGGAATTGAAACAAATGTCATCATACTAGTGCGATAATAATTTAATTTAGGCTTTGATAAGGGTCTCCCTATGGGTCGGAATCTTGAGGCAACTAAGATAATAACTATACAACTAGTCTAGGTTATCTACCTGCAGTGCCAAAGTAACTTGAGTAAAACAAGTCTGTTCCCAGGCAGGGGCAACGGGATCCGCAAAACTTAGAAAGTCTCTTCCTAATGCACAGCAAATGGTAACCAGTCTTCCCGGCTCCCCTTGCAGAACAGAACCTTTCCTTCTGGAAAGCCTTCCCATCTGGGAAGGCAAACACCCAGCACTCGCTGTCTCACACGTGGGCTCCCAAGCCCCCCACCCCCGCCCCATCCCTCCAAATCAGGGACTGGGTTCCGTGGTAGCAGCGGCAGAAGCCAGTGTTCCAATGCCTGGGCCTGGACAGAGGCAGATCCCAGGATCCCGGCTCGGTACCGGGACCGCTCCTCCTAGCACCGCTCCAAGCAGGCCAGGCTGGGGGCGTACTCCCGCTCCGCCCTCCGCACACGCCCGCTGACGACAGGATGTTTACGGCAGCGCAGGGAGCCAGGGGCATCACCGCCAGGACAACTGGGGTGGAGCGGCACGGTCAGCCCCGGGGAAGGCGAGGCCGGCTGCGGTCCTTCGCCCACCGCGGCCTGAACGCTTACGGATCCGCACCACCCGGGACCCCTCGAGCGGTCTCAACTGCTCCCGGAGCTCCTGGATCGCTCTCGCTCGCTTCCCCACGCCAAAGCTGGCAGAGCTCGGGGCAGACGCTCCCGTTCCCGGGGGTCGCGACAGCCTCCTCCACCGTATCCCTACAGGGCTCCCCTTCTCCAGCACCCGAAACGCGTAGGCGTTCACCTGTGGCGGCCACAGCTGCGCAGGATCACACGCAGCCTCCCTGAGGTCGCCGAAGTCCCGAGCTCTAGCGCAACAGCGACTGACTCAGGCTTTAAGGCCCGGGTCTGCGGCCTGGCCGGCCTCGCCCCCACCACCCTCCCCAGCTGCGATTGGCTACTCCGACAGAGGGGCGGGGCTTCCCTGCGTTCCGACTCCAGGCGCGTGACGTAGACGGGTCCCCGCTTGTCCCAGGGCGGCGGCGAACTGGCCTCGGTGGATCCCGGGGGTTTTGAGCTAGGCGTCTCCCAGCTGCGCAGAGGAGGGTCGGGTGATTGCTCCACTCCCACGGTTTAATGCGCTGGAGGTGGAAGGTGAGGGGTGGGAGATGGGGGCGTCGATTTTTCAGGCCTCCCCTGCTTTCCCTTCGTTCCGAGTTTTCAGTTAAAAATCTCCCATAGGGTCGTGAGCCAGTACCTCCTGACCTGGTGGTTCCGGTTTAATCCACAGCGCAGGATACCACGTGAAAGCAGAAACTACAGGATATTGAGACCTTGCTATTCTATACAAGGGAGACACCCGACAGCAAGGAAAGAGGAAAAGCTTTGAAGTAGGGGAGAAGGGGGAGGAAACTTTAGGTATGCCCTGATTGAAAGTGGTGGTTATGGAGAAACCGGAGGAGAAATCACTAGAAATGGGGCATTTTTTGTGATCGATTTGGAGAGCCTATTTGTCCAGCAAGAGGAATAGCTAGAGCTACATGTATCATTTTATGTGATTGGTTTGGGGAATGCATTTTCTAGTGTGTCCTAGGTTGGAAGTATAGAGGCAAAAATTAGGGCATTATCTGCCCTTGAGTATTGCGTGCTCTAAGCGGGTGGCTGTCCATCTTCTGTGGGTTGGAGTTCTAGTGCATAGAGTTCGACCATGGTTTGTTTACTCAGTCTATCACAAGAAATCTAAATTATCCTAACACGTGGGTTTTAAAGTTGCCCTTGGGCCACAAGCTCCCTAAGATTACATAGAGTGGAAAAACCTGCAGCTGCCTTAAGAGCTGTGCTATGTGCAACAGCGTGATGGAGGCTGCATGGTGGGGGCTGCTCTGAAAAGTGGCATTCTCTGTTTCTTGGAATAAGATACAAATGCATGGGGAAAAAAACATAATGCCAAGTGTGCCCCAGATCTAAAATTAAACCAGGAACTGTCTAAGTGCAGGACAATTGGGGGAAAAAAAAACATTAGATAAGGGAGTAGAAGACTCTTGTTTCAACTCATGGTGTCTCTTTATACCTGTCAATACATATTGGTTAAATAATGCAGTGGTGTCCTACAGAAATGTAGTATTATTAGGCATTTTATTCCATTTCCTACTTTTCTTTTCCCACTTCTTTGCTAAATCATTTTGGTGAGTACTAATTATGAAGATGTTCACGTTATAGTTAAGCAGTCAAGCCTTATTTAGCTCTGCCCCTGATAAAATGCAGTTGGCAGAACATCCTGAGTCCTACTTAAAATGTACTACTACCTGTGGGACCAGCAGTTAGCGTAATGGCTATGTCACTAGACTCCCATGTAGTTGACTGCAGTTCGCGTCCCAGACACGGTGGCTTAAACTCACACTGGGCATGTGCGTGCCCAAGATCCCGAGAGGAGAATGGAGGAGAAGGGTTTGCGGCATGGCCATTCCCCCCTGGGGGATGATTCCTCGCTTTCCGTCTCCCTGTCTCTGTCTGTCTGACGAGCACACATACCCTATAGCAAAAACCTCCCTCCAAAAAATGTACTACCTATGAGGACCAATAGTTGGCATAATGGCTATGTTGCTGGACTCCCATGTAGTCGACCGCAGTTCAAATCCTGGACCTGGTGGCTTAAACTCACACCAGACGTGCATGTGTTCATGCCCAGGATCCCGAGAGGAGAATAGAGGAGAAGGGATTGCAGCATGGCCACCCCCCCCCGGGGGGGTGATTTCTCACTTTCTGTCTCTGTCTTTCCGGTGAGCACATGCACCCTATAGCAAAAATCTCTCAAAATAAATAAATAAATAAAGTACTCCTGCGAAAGTTTGTCTTGGTGCATCTATACAGGTTTCTTTGGGTCACATGATTCTCTACCCAGTCTCTGGAAGTTTTTATTTTGTTTCTCATAATTTCTTTTTTTAAATAACTTTTATTTATTTATTTAGAATTATTTTATATAACTTTATTTATTTACTTATTTTTTTAATTTGACCAGAGAGGGCAAAGAGTAAAAGAGCGAGAGAAAGTGGGAAAACAAACCACTAGGTCCAGGACTAGAGTTACCGTCAGCCATGTGAGAGTCCAGCACCCTTGACCACCACACCACCTGCCAGCCCCTTGTCATAAATTCTTATGTACATTTCATTGTTACACATTTGTGGAGTACAATACAGCTTTTTGAAGCATGCATACATGCATGGAAGTTTGGTTGGTTGGTTTGTCGCTACAGGGTACATGCACTCACCAGAGAGAGAGACAGAGAGCAAGAAAATGAGAAAGAAGTTCCTGGGGTTGGGGGGTGACCATGCCACAATCCCTTCTCCACCAATCTTCTCTAGGTATTTGGGTGCACACACGTTTTTTAAGCTGCCATGTCCAGGAATCCAGCTGCACAGTCTGCCATGTGGGATCCAGCTACCTTAACCACCATGCCACAGGCTGGCCATAGAAGTTTGAAACTATAGGGAAGCTGACAAATTTTGTGTGGTGATTTTCATGACATTGATGTCACTTAACACTTCTCCCCAATGTAACAATCCTCATTTGTTTAATTCACTGAACCAAAGACTGTGTTCCAGGGGTCACTTCTTAGCCTAGTGGTTAAAGGAGACAGATCCCCTATGGCTGACCATAGTTCCAGTCCCGCTATTAGCAGCTCGAAAGACACACTGGGTCTGATGTTCTGGCATAATGAGAACCCTGACAATAAGGGTAATGGAGGAGAAGGGATTGTGGTGTGACCATGCCCCATTAGAGGGAATATTCTCTCTCTGGTTATCTTTCAGTCTCTCTTTGGCAAGTGTACATGCCCTCTAACAAAGAAATGAAGGAGAGAGACCAGCAGATGGCATAATGGCTATGTTGCTGGACTCCCATGTAGTCGACTGTGGTTCGAGTCCTGAACTCGGTGGCTTAAGTTCACGCTGAGCACATGTGCAGGTGTGCCCGAGATCCCGAGAGGAGAATGGAGAGAAGGGATTGCGGCGTGGCCATCACCCCTGGGGGGTGATTTCTCGTTTTCTATCTCTTGATCTCTATCTTTCTGGCAAGCACATGCGTCCTATAGCAAAACCCTCTCCAAAAAAAAAAAAAATCTGAGATTAGCCACCATCATTTTAATTTACAGCACACAGACATAGAACATGACAGATATATTTAAATGAAATTATGTCAAGCATTTTGGGGTAGTAGGTAACTAGGGAAGCAACCTGGTGGAATTTCTCCCCTCACCCCCAAGACTATAATCCAGAAACTCAACCAGCTGCCAGAGAATCTCTTCCTCCAATCTGAAAAGATCTTCTCAAGTAACATGATGTTTAGTTTCCTTTGGCTGATGTAACAAATTCCCACATTCATGGTGGTTAAAACAGGGTTTATTCTCCCACACTTACAGAGGCTGGAAGTCCAAACCGTATCACTGGGCCAAAAGCAGAGTTGATAGGACTGCCCTCCCGCCCATCAAAGACTCTCAGGCAGAATCTGTCGTGACCGCGTTCAGTTTCTGGTGGCTGCCTGTGTGCCTTGACTTAGGGACACATCTCTTTTTTACTTTTTTTTTCCTTTTTCTTGGGAGAGGTTTTTAGCTATAGTGCATGTGCGCTCGCCAGAAAGAGAGAGACAGAGAGATAGAAAGCGAGAAATCACCCCCCGGGGGATGGCCATGCCGCAATCCCTTCTCCTCCATTCTACTCTCAGGATCTTGGGCACGCACGCACATGCACCCAGCGTGAGTTTAAGCCACCGGGTCTGGGACTCGAACCATGGTCGACTACATGGGAGTCCAGCGACAGAGTCATTACGACGCTAACTGCTAGTCTCTAAAAATCAGTTTCTTGACAAAGTTAACTTTATGTTTATCTTAACTTTAGGTGAGCTTGACTAGAATAACTAGGCCCCAACTTCATGGGAACTTCTCATACTGTAATTTCTTTGCTCCATCTGTGGCCCAGATCCTTGTCTCACTTGCTGACTGGAAACATTTTCTACCTCAACTTTCCCTTGCAACGTTTGACACTTTTTGTTTTTTAAATTCAAGACCACCACACAGCAAATTTTACCACTCTCTCCTTGTCCTCTATCTGTAGCCATCCATCCCATGGTTTCTGCATATGAAAACATTGTTCACGGGACCAGCAGTTGGCATAATGGCTATGTCGCTGGACTCCCATGTAGTCAACCACGGTTCGAGTCCCAGACCTGGTGGCTTTAACTCAGGGCGGGCGCATGTGCGTGTGTGCCCAAGATCCTGAGAGGAGAAGGGATTGTGGTATGACCATCACTTTCTGTCTGTCTCTCTCTGTCTTTCCGGCAAGCACATGCTCCCAATAGCAAAATCCTCTCTAAAAATAAAAAACATTGTTCACCCACCCCTTTCCTGAGACATATCTGGTTTAGCATCTCCCTGTTGCAATGAACCATTTAATGAAGTCTTTCCTTCCCAATGTAGGAACTTGCTTTTTGTTTTCCCACCTTGACACCATGTATTATTATGGTAAGTGGTAGAGACAGAAAAGGCAGTCTATTGACACACTCAGCTAGCACAGCTACCTGCCGTGGGCTGCTCCCGAGCTCTTGCAAATTAAAGCATGAGTAGAAAAGATTCCTGCCATGGTGCCCATGCTGGTGATGACAGTAATAGCTAAATACCACCATGGCACCAGGCACCGTGAGCATTTCCCACCTGCTCCTCCTGGGATCTCTGTACAACCTCGTGACATTGATACTCAAACTCCAGCGTGCATTGGAATCACCCGGAGGGTTCAGGAAACTCAAGTAACTTAATCTCATCTGTTGCATTTCTGATTCAGTAGGTCTGGGAGGGGGTTCCAGAATTTGCTTTTCTAACAAGTTCCCAAGGAATGCAGATGCCCCCAGTCAGGGACCCCAATTTGATTATCATTTTCCTAGGGGGTAGGTGCTCAAATATA